GGGGGGGGGGGGGTGCAGGGGCCGGAGTGCTCAGAGGGGCCCGGAAATCTCGGTAAAATGTTCGTGTTGTTTATCATCGCCTCATGTTTGTCCTAAATGAAATACGCCTGCTTGCACACTATCCGCTGATCGGCCTGATCATTCATAAAAACGTACCAAATGTGAATAAACCAATTTTTCGATCGCTTTCTCAGCAAAAACACTTAGCTGAACATCGTTCACATTGCGTTTTTATCAGTTAAATATTATCTGGCTATATTATCTGCGAAATATTATCTGGCTATAACACCTTTCGCCGAGACAGAATTGACCGTGTTGTAGGATTGACCGTGTTGAATCTTAGTTGCAATAAAGGCTGATATTAAATCAACTCGACGTTTAGATCTTGAAAGGAAAAGTGTTGAACTTGTTGTAGTTGAACTTAATAGGCCGGACAGTCGATTATTTTTACTTTACACGTTTTACTGTCCTCCCGATTCATTGCCTGAAGTTCTTCAGCACCTCGTTGCAAAGTATTCAAGAATCTGTTGTTGTGTTGTTGTTGGTGATTTCAATTTGCCCATGCTGGACTGATCGAATGATCAAGCTGCGCCTGTTAATAATATCGGGGGAAACGCAAAGTTGTAATGTAGACAATTTTTTACATCAATTCATAGAAGGCAAGACACACGAAGCAGGTAATAAACTAGATTTACTGCTATGTAATTGTCCTGAGACTATTGAGAAAGTAACCACAATACCAGCTGACGAATGCGGTTTTCCATCAGATCATTGTATCATAGATTTTATAATCAGACTTAAGTTTGAACGCACTAAGCCTGTTAAACGCCAAGTCTTCAATTATCACCAGGCAGATTTCGAAAGCTTGCGCCACTTCTTGACTGCATCCCGTTTGAAAATATTTCCTCCTGTGATAACATTGATGATCGTTGGTCTTGCTGGAAAACATTATTTATAATTAACTGCAGTGAGTGAACATGTTCCTACCAAATTTATCAAAGATATCAACACTCCGCCTTGGATAGATCAGCAAGTCCGCCATCTAACTAGAAAGAAATACTCGGCCTTAAAAAGATACAGGAAAAATCAATCTGATGCCCCCCCCCCCCAAAAAAAAAACAAAGGGATATTAGTCAAGCTGTTAAATGTCAAATTAAGACAAAATATCGTGGATACCTAACCAAGATCAGGAAATCCTTAAATTCTATTCTCAAAACTTTCTGGAGTTATCATAAGGCTATGTTACATTAAAGAACAAACCATATTTCTGCGATCATTTACAACGATGTTACAGCAACTAATCCAATTGAAAAAGCAGAACTACTCAATGCTTATTTTCCCTCTGTGTTTTCCAAACCAACTGCGAACACAGATTAGGCGAATTTTCTGAATTATCAGGAGTTTTGCTCA